TTTTCTCCCGTGCCAGAAAGGCCTGAACATAACCATTACAGAAACAAGGGGTTTATTTTGCAATTTGAAAGCAAATAACTAGAGCAACAATAAATGCAGTTAGAAATACAGCAAATACAATTTTCAGCAGAATTTCTGAAACTCGGGTAAACCTCTGTGTAGTTCACTGTGACATGGCAATATTACACACACTCAAAAAAAAAAATTTAACAACATAACCACCTTGCCATAAGTGCTAATGAATGATTCTTCACTTCCTGCATAGGAACAAGTGAGACTATGCAGCAGAGAGAGGCCTGAAGCACTTTTTAATCTGGTCACATGGATCCATGAAACACACCTATTAGTACCACATGTCCTCAGGATTGTATTTCAAATTTACTGGTCTGCCTTCATAAATGTCAGTCATACAGTCTTCAAAGTTCTTCACTTTTAAGATTTTAAAAAATAGACAAAATAAAGCTTAGAATTAAAACTAGTATTTTTAAATCAGCATACGTCTTAAAGGTTGACAAGGCCTTCATTTTACATGAGATTTAAAAAAACTCAGACTAGAGCCTGGAATTTTCATGTCTAAACCTCTTATCTTTCAACCCATTAGTTCCACACTGTCATTTCACTCAGTAAAATGAAGAAACGTCATAATCTGAAGCACAGGAAAGTTTACTACTGAAAAACTTATCTGACATGTGTTTTCAAAACTGCTCATCTATTAAATAGGAACAGAATAATAACATTTCTAGAAGTATTTTGCAAGTCTTATGTGGTTAAGAACACAAACTGTCATTGAGTATTATTAAGTACTCCTTGAGTCAGGGCCCCACAATAACTGACTCGTTGGTGAGTAACAAAAAACATGAAAAGGTTATCCCCTCCCAAAAAATCCCAAACAAACAAACAAAAGAAAAAGAAAATAAAGCCTTACAAGTTTCATGAAGATTGCCTGTAAGATGGGCATTATTTAGTGCTGTGCCTAAGGGAAAGATTACTACATAGGTCCAAAGACAACCTGTTACACTTGGCCCGGGAGCACATCAATCAGCACTCCCAGCTCACGCAGCAGGACAGCTGATCCTGCAGCTCAAATGCACCTTTTCCATGCTCACTGCCCAGCCAGGAGGAGGGAGCAAAGGATAAACTGCTAAGAGGGGTAAAGATAATGTAAGAATAGTAAACCAGGGGTAACTTCCAGGTGACAGTACGAAGACACAAGACAAATTCACAGGGTGAACAAAAAGCTCTTCATACAGATTTACTACTCAAATTTCTGCTCAACAACTTCCAACTGCGAGACCTACCACTGCTTTCCAAATCAAACAAAATCTGACGATGAAACTATTTCAGATTTAAATATATTTCCATAATAAGTGCTCCAGTAAACAATATTTAAATTATTTCAGTAAACTAAGTGTTTGTAAGAAAATATCATAATTCAGCAGTAACAACAGCAGGGAGCTGCAGATGCATCTCCATCACGCTCAGCTCAGCTGGTTTATAACCAAATCCACGCATTTGCTTAGGTCCAGCTTCAGCGTTTATAGTTAACTGAACCATTATTTTTTCTTTTCAAGTCCTGTCAAATGTTTCTCAGCACCGCAGCAAGACTAGCAGCTCCAGAGGACTCTGGAAGAACCCATCCATCCTTTCAGCACAGGTCTCAAGTTGGGGAGAGGCACAAGAAAATGAGCAGCATTCACGTGCTGATAATAGTCTTTGTTCCAACTGTAAATCCAGAGGATCACTAGGCTTGAATGCAGACTATTATTACTCAACCAGCTGATCTGAGCTTGCTCACAAAAGTCACAGACAAACTCCTGCACAACAGTGGGAACTTAGCACAATTCCCAGGGAAAAAATGGAACTACTACAGATCAACGAGATACCTGCCAGTCCTAGAGTTACTGCACTCAACTCTCCTGCTGTGCTGAAAATGCCACCTTGGTTATTTATCCTAGGCGTCAGTCTGGGCTTTGCTTTTTCCTTTCTGGGTTTTTTGGGAGGGAAGATAAGCATGTTGTAATAAAGTACAAATTTATCTATCCATCTGCAGGCATGGAAATGGAGGGTTAAAATTCACCCTCAATTTCAGGGCATCGATAGTCACCTCTATATTTATTTCTCGTGTTATTATAAATACTGACCAATTTCCTACAAATTATTTTTTTCTGTCAGCAGATACTCTCAAAACACAATAAAATGTTAAAAATAGAAGTTGTTGAACAGTAGCTCTATTTTGACCATATGCAAGACTTTCCTCCTCATCTGCTTCATTTGTATTTGATATCACTAAAGGAAAAGTCAGAGATAACACAACGTGGAGAATGATAAAGAACATGCACAAGGAAATGGGAATTTGATCACTCATGGAATTCAGGTCTTCTTACCACACCCTTTAATTCATTCAAATTTTCTAAAGAGGAAGCAAGAAAAAAAATCCCAAGCCCAGGGGCATGATGTGAATGTTACCAAACCTGCTGACAGCAGGAGAGTCTTTACTGAGAACACTCTCCTAGCAGCTTCCTCTGGCCAAACCCAGGTTCTGAACAGTCAAGCCTGTTAGTTCCATCTCTTCCCTTTTCTCTCTACTCCCTCCCCAGGGAATCTTACTTTACAACACGCTGAGAGTCAGACACCGAGTTCCTCAGGACTTCGGAGACACAGGGAGTCAGCAAAGGTCATGAAGTACTGTACAATAAACTACCCCATAAAAAACCACACTTAAATAACAACAAAATATCGTTCTTTAACAGTCATAGAACCTACATTTTAATTCAGAGGTGACCAAATCAACGAATTATTTATTCTTTCAGGATTTCAATATATTAAGTCTAAACTGCTTCCAGCTCTTCCTTGGTATTTCACCATTCCAGTTTACACACTCTAACTCTTCAGCACGTCCCTACCTTTTGCAACACTCTGCTTGTCTGTGTGATCATCTGAAAGGCACAGGATTATGCTGTGGCCGCCTTCCAAGCAGCAGCAATCATTTGGATCACAATGTCAAGCGAACAACTTGCTGGACTACATGTGGCAAAAATAATAAAGCATTTTAACACACTGCAGCAAAGAGTGCACACCAAACGAAATTTTCCAACCCCAGGAATAACAGATTGCACTCTTGGTAGCATTACTCTTCCCCCACCAACTCAACAAGCAGGCCTTGGAATTACAGCACAAAACACACTCTCAACACCCCAAGTTTCCATCCTGGCAGGTCAAGCGAAAACTTTGCAAAGATTAAAAACAAGGCACAGTCCTTATTTAAAGCACTCAACACAAAGAGTCCCACTCCTGGTGGTAAAGGGAAGGAGCAAGAACCCACGCACGCGGATTTAACCACCTACAGCAAGAGGACCACGAGAACAACGACAGAGAAAGAAAGTAGCAACCAGCTCTGGAGGGCACAGGGCAAGGCGTAATGACGCTGCTTCCAGAAAACCCCTGCAAGTTATTTCTGTTATTTCCTCAACCCCGACACGCACTTGGATAAGATCAGGATTAGATTTAGACTTTCACTCTATGAAAAACAAGAAACTGTTATCTTAAAGCTCCTTTATGTACCTGGTGTTTTTCCAGAAGTCTACTCCCATACTTAGTCAATTGCACGTAAAATCTCAGCTTTTGAAAAAAACAGAAAACAAACAAACCTACAAACAAACCCAAACATCCACACCCCTTTTCCACTCGCATAAGTTTAGAAGAAAGAAAATGTGACTTCTATGAGTCTCAGGAGTCTGATGGAAACCAAAGACCTGAATTTTTTTCTGTCTCCTTAAGACTTTTAGGCCAATTACATGGTTTTGGGGAACTGACTCACGAGGGGTTTGCTGGGCTGGTTTTAATCTTCGAGGTTAGGTCTAGTCATGCCCCGTTTTCATTCTGAAATAAGGGTACTCGTACAGTTACAAAGATTTTGATCTAACATATATTCAAAGTACATTTCTGGACCAAACCACGTAATTCTCCACAGTTAACAGTGAAACTACCTTAAGAAAATACAAATAAAATTCTAATTGTTACTTAAGTGTAACTCTAGCAGGGAAGTCTGATACATTTTCTGCTAAACATATAGAAAAATCGTACAAGTTTATTAAACTGCTTGAAGGGACTAATTAGCAAGGGGCACACAGCATTTTCACACTGTTTTTACGTCCTTTTCCCACCCGATTTTCAGTTTTTCAAGTAAACTGTTGCATACAACATCCAGGAGAGCTACTACATAAGCTGTGTTCTTTGAAACGCTTGACTCAGTAGGCTGAAACAGACCTGAATGGTCGAATTCAACCATGTGTGAGAACTCAGTTGTGCCTTTTCACCAAAACAGAGCTAGAATCTTGGCAAAATGAAATGTGCAGCTTTAACATACAAAAGCTCAAGACCTCATCCTTACAGATTCTGAAATCCACAATTACAGAAGTCATTCAAAGATGACTCCGAGCCCCACTTCACACCGTGCACGATTATTACTTGTGCACACGCAATGCAGGAAAAGCTAGTCTCCTTTTTATTTTAGCAAACTCGGTTTTTCCCCCTCATGTTTTAAGAGGCTTTCACTCGGTTTTCTCCCTCTAGAGCAGAGCCCCTGTTGCGGGCGCAGGTAAAACCGCATCCAGAGATGCATTTCCCATCCCGAATCTTCAGCACACCCCACCTGCGCTTTGCCGCAAGACACAGCCCTGAAGAACCCCGAAAGCACCATCTGAGAAAAATCCGCAGCTTCCGAGGAAAGAGGCCCCGGAGGAGGAGGAGGAGGAGGCGGCAGCGCCCGGCGGGGCCGCTCGGGGCTCTCACGGATCGGCGGCGATGGCCGGGGAGCGCCCCCTCCTCGGCGGCCAGGGCCGGGCAGCGGGGGGCCCCGAGGAGCAGGGGCGGGGGCCCGGCACAAGTTGGCCGGGGAAACCTGTGGCTGCCGTGACAGCCCCGCGGCCGGGAGCGGGGCGGCGCCCGGGCAGCGGGGGCTGCCGAGGCGGGGACGCGGCCGGGCAGGGCCGGACACTGACCTGTCCTCCGAGTCCATGCGGCTGAGGGGCTCCCCGTCCGAGGACATCTCCAGGCTGCCCCGCCGGCCCCCCGACGTGGCGCTGCCGCAGCTGCTGCCGCCGCCCGTGCCGGGGCCGGTGCCGTATCCCTCGTCGCCGCCGCTGGACACGCTGCTGGAGCTGCTGCCGCCCCCGCCGCCGCCGCGGCCCGGCCCGTCCTCCTGGCTGCCCCGGGGGCCCTTGGGCTCCTCCTTGGCGTCGGCCTCGCTGCCGCCGCCGGGGCTCGGCGAGCGGGTCTCGTCGCTGCAGCAGCCGCTGCTCGTGCTGCTGCTGCTGCTGCCCACCAGGCTGCTCTCCTCCTCCTCGCCGCCCTCCTCCTCCTCTTCCTCCTCCTCGTCCTCGTCCTCCCCGTCCCCGGCCTGGCTGGCGCTCTCCGGGCTCGGCTCCGACATGCTCTCCGCCTCGCCGTTCAGCAGCAGCAGCGGCTCCGGCTCCGCCGCGGCCGAGGACGAAGGCGGCGGCGGCGGCGACGACGAGGAGGATCCAGCCCCACCGGCTGCGGCCGCCACCTCCGCCGCCGCCGCCACCTCCGCCTCCTCCTCCTCCTCGGCGGGCGCCGCCTGCCCGGGAAGGCGCCGCTGGGGCTCCGCCATGTCGCTGCAGCGAGCGGCCGCCATGGCGCCTGCGAGTCGCTGCCGCGCGCGCGGGGCCGGCCGCGGGCGTGCG